TTTATTCATATAGCCTAACGATTTTACTCTTATCTGGGCGTGTGTGTGTGTGTGTGTGTGTGTGTATATATATATATATATATATATATATATATATATATATATATATATCCTGAAAACTCAATCTGAAACTGAAACAAATACAAACAAAAATGAGAAAATATTAATTTTCTTTCAGAAACAAACAAAACTACGTCTTCCACTAACCCATATTGAAAAACTGGACAAGAGTAGAGCTCAAAGATAGTAAAACCAGTGACAAAGAAAACACTTTGGACCAAATACCTCAAAAAAAAAAGAAAGATAAAAATAAAAACATTACAGAAAAGGATTTAAAACACAAAACCTGAAACTTGAAACTAGATATCAAATAAAACCAAAAAAGATTGAATCTTTAAATTAAAACACTAACCAGTACACAAGAAGAACCACTCATGTTAGCTTTACATTCAAACAAAACACTAAACACAAAAAAGATTGAATCTTTAGATTAACCCATAAAGAAATCCATATAAAGCTATAGTGTAAGATGCCTTTGGAATTGAAACCAAGAGAGGGAAAAAAATACCATACCAAATGAAGCTGACTTTTCAAGAAACAGCCACCATTTGCATCTTTAACCAAAAACCCATGCCTTAAAATCAGATCAAAACTAACAAAACAAAAACCCCACTAATCAGAATGTTTTTTTATTTTCTGTGTAACAAAGGTTGAATAGTTATAGAAGCAGGAAGCTAAAGATTATATCTTTAGTTGATCTGAGGGAAAAATATTGGAACCCCATATCAGAAAAGTAGTGAAAAGATTAACATGTGAGTAACAATGAGCTGAGAGAAGCAACAGCCAAAGAACAAAATGCAGAGAGAAGCAGAAGTGAAGAGAAAGGAAAAATGGGGACAGTGTAGAGGAGCAGTAAGTAGAAGTAGTAGAAAATGTTGAAAAGATACTTTAATTATCTTGAAAGTTGTTTGGTAAATTAGGGTAAAGTGTAAAAGAAGGAAATGAAAAAAAAAATATTAAAAAATAGGAAATTATTAAATTATTAGGGATATTTTTCATCGTTGGGCGTTTTTTTATTTTTTTGTGGTGGGGGGGGGGGTGGGGGGGGAGG